TATAATCTGTTGAGGGTTTGCAGTTCTTTTCACAGTTAAGTAGTTATTTCTGGCTTTTAGACTTTATTAATAGTGCGTAAAAAATAGTTTAGCTAGGGAATGGCACTGTTGGTTAATAGAGAAATGTTTGGTTGTTTTCAGTCTATACTCAACTGTAATATTACTCTAAATATGACTTTTGGACCATTTGTATCAGATTTACCCTGTAGAACTTTGTTGAAAATTTAGATTTTAAGTCTACACTTCAGACCTGAGCCACAATTGATAGATGGTGTGGAGAAGGGAACTGAGAATCTGCATTTTAAACAAGCCCTCCAAGGTGATTCTGAGGCATGCTAACGTTTGGGAAGCACAGCCTTATGCGAACTAGTTACATGCAAATCCTTTGTAAAAGCTTGCTTTTTCGATAAACCTATTACTTTCAGGTTTCTATTAATTTTCACTTGAACCTTTGCTATTCTCATTTTGAAGTGATAGCAATTTTAATGACCCCCTGAGCACATTTTTATTAGGCACATAATTGCCATAGAGCTGAGCCAGGCAATGTACTCAAGAGAACCATGCTATAATCAGATGAAACAGTTTAAAACTCACAGTGGAGTTCCTGCTTATGAAATTGTCTCAAGTCGTTGATGCTTTTAGGTAGCTTGAATTCCAGTCCACTTTAAGAAATAATGTTTATTAACTGACTTTTTTGGAAAGAGTAGGAGAAAGTAATTTAATATGGCTTTGTTATATTTGAAAATATTTAGTGCTTATTCAGTACATTAATTATGTAAATAGAACGAAAAGCCAGGTGGTGATTTTGCTACTGCACTTCTTGTAATGCCTTATGTATTTATTAACATAAATAGTTGAGGAATACAATACCTCGTATTTTTTATTGTTTTCACTTGTGTTCTTTAAAGATGATCCTGTAAGAATATTATCTACTCATCAACTTTCTGAATTATTTTTTCAGTGGTGATAATGAGTTGGGTAAAGATAACCATCCTAACAGGTCTTCTATTATTTGTCTAATGCCTTTGCAAAATGACTGCCTTGGGTTTGAGGGGGCAGTTTTTCCTGTGAATTAGAACTTTAAAGAAGCTATGTGTGATGATATATCCTTAAATCCATAGCCTTGGTAGCATTTGTACTTTCACCGTTTGAGATAACTGGTTTTTACAAGGATTTTGCATGGAAACCATGGTAAAATTTTAGGAAAAGCATGTTTTAAAGAGGTGGAGAAACAATAGGTCTACGTAAGTGTGATTCTAAGTGAAGTTCTTCATCGTGTTATTCCACAAGCCTTCCATATAGGCCTTCCAAGTGTGCATCTTTTTGTCTGACCTCTTTTTGAGACCTAAGTCTCTCACTTCTGGTGCTACCCAGACCCTTTATCTGAACATCCCACCAGTATCTTGGGTGCATCATGTCAGACACTGTCAACTTTATCTGCAAACTAGATTCTTCTCTTTCCTCTTCTTATCTTAATGGTTCTACTGTTTCTCCCAGTCACTCAGATGTTGAGTCAGAATGTAATTTACCATTTTACATGAAAAGCATTTGATAATTCACAATAATTCTCAAAGACCTTTTTTCCCCCTTTTCAGTTCTGTTCACAAAAGGAAGCCGCTGCCCAAAACTGTATATAACTTGCTCTCTGATCGTGATTTAAAGAAAAAGCTGAAACAGCATGGATTATCCGTTCAAGGAACTAAACAGCAGCTGATTAAAAGGCACCAGGAATTTGTACATATGTATAATGCTCAATGTGATGCTTTGCATCCTAAATCAGGTAAAGCAATGAGTTATGCATGTCTCTGGGATAAAGCAATTTTGTGTAGCTCGGATACTGTAAACCATAGAAAACAATTTTTAATAAATACATTTTTGATAATAGATAAGACATGCAAATGGTACCTAGAATATGCTATGATAAGCCAGCCTTCCTCTCAGCCCGTCTCCCAGTTCCCAAATCCCCTTCTAGAAGCACCACTGTTGCTAGTTTCTCATGTGTCTTTCCAGAAATAGGGTGTTGGTGAAGAGTGGCTCTGGAGAGCCTGGGTTATAGTCCTGGTTTTTCAGATTTATGGCTGGGTGACTGTGGGCAAGTCACTTGATACCTCTGTACCTCAGTATTCTCATTCATAAAATAAGGCTTAGTTATAATACTACCTACTTCATAATGTTTTTGGGAGAAATAAATGATAAAATGCATGTAAGTGTCTCGCACAGTACCTTCGCAGGTAGTTAGCGTTCAGTAAGTGTTACCGCTATGATTATTATACACAAAATAAATCCTTATTGCAAAAATGTTAGTGTTCTATATAGCACAATGTTTAATGGTTCATCCTCTTCATTAAACCACACACATATTCTGGAGTTCTTTTTATTAGCATGTATAGAATTGCCTAATTTTTATGATAACATGCAAACATAAAAGCATACAAATTGTTAGTATATTGTTTGGTGAATTATCACAAAGTAAATTTAACAAAGTGAAAGTGCCTTTGTAGCCACTACTGAGATCCCTTCCAGCATCCCAGAAGTCCCATCTTGC